GGATGCTTCGATTCATTTATGTCCAAGACAGTTTGATTGGCTTGGGTTACCCCCATAATCTCCTTGATTTACAGGCTAGATTCTGCTCCTTGGGTGCCGACCATTTGGCGCCAGTTTTGATATTAGGCTGTAACCTGGGGGCGAACTCATCGGCCGACTGCCTCATTTCTCATGTGAAGGCGTACGTTCCAGACCTTGAAGTTCACCAGCAATGAGGAGACTGGAAGTTGCAGGTTTCCGGGAATGGTATAGAGTCCCACTCTGGAGAAGCAAAGTGGAACTCCAAGCGACTTGCACAGGTACTTGTTGCTACACCGTTGCGTCTTCTGAATGGGAGACAGCGTAACCATAATAATAATAATACACCTGCAACGGCCACAGAAGCTGAAACTGCAAACCATGTTGGTAGTACCACGCTTTCAGCTTGTCAGGAAGATGGGATATGTCGATGGTTGATATATTTAGGAAGGATATTAGAATAATTCAGAACTTAGCCTGAATGCGGATAGAAAACGAATTCAGTAAATAACCAAAAAAAAAAGAAAAAATAGGGGTGTAAGACAAGGTTGTGTCTTCTTACCGGACTTATTCAACCTATAGTGAGGTGATTTTTCTCGTCAGAAAGCATCTTGCACGTTTATGAATATAGAGAAGGGTCCATAATGTAGTCGATCCTGACCAGGCGTCACGTCTTCAGTCACTGCCTCACCGACGTGACGTGGCTTCCCTCTGTCTTTTCTACAAATATTTTCATCATAACTTTTCCGATCAGATGAGTTTTATCTCAGGTGCCACGACTACATGAATTTAAACGTGCTACTTGATTTACAAGCCAGTCTGAGCGTTTTACTGCTGAATTAGCTTGATGCAACCGCCATTTCTACCCTTACAGTTTCTGTGGATGAACTTATCGGCCGAGTCCCTCACCATCATGTGAAGGCGTACTTTCCCAACCTTGGACTCGACCGTAGGGTAAAGAGTACCACTGTAGAGAAGCAGGTGGGTGGGACTCCAAGTACTTGTTGGTACACCGTTATTTCCATAAACGGACGATTCCATTCATTTATGTCCTATATGGCACCAAGCCAGCTTGATTGGTTTGGGTCACCTCCATAATCTTCTTGGTTCGCATGCTGGATTCTTATTCTTGGGTGGCTCCTAGTACAGACCATTTGCTACCGGATTTGATATCTGGCTGTAACCTGAGGACGAACTCATCGGCCGAGTCTCTCATCATCATGCGAAGGTGTACCTTCCCAGCCTTGAACTCCACTACCAATGAGGAAATTTAAAGTTGCAGGCTTCCGGGATTGGTATAGAGTCCCACTGTGGAAAAGCAGGGTGGAACTCCAAGCCACTTTCACATGTACTTGTTGATACAACGTGACGTTTGCTGAATGCGATACAGATTTCTTTAATCACCATGTCTTGTTTTCTCTATGAAACATGTTTGGATAAAATAAAATAAAAAAAACTGGTTTCTTGTGCCAGATCGGTTGTTTAGGGTCACGCCTATAATCTTCTTGGTTTGCAGGCTGGATTCTGCTTCTTGGACGCCCTCCACTACCGATTATTTGGTGCCAGTTTTGATATCTGGCTGTAACCTGAGGGCGAACTCATCGGCCGACTCCCTCATCGTCATGTTACGGTGTACCTTCCCGACCTTGGACTCCACCACCAGTCTGTTTTATGCTAAACAGCAATGATCTGACGATTGCGTTTAGCATGAAACATACTGACGCCTCTTGGTGTTGACTTCAATGTCCACTTATATATATATATATATATATATATATATATATATGTTGTGTGTGTGTGTGTGTGTTTGTGTGTGTGGTTGGTTGGTTGGGTATGTGTGTGTGTGTGTCTACACACAGACCTTGAATTTCACCAGCAATGAGGAGACTGGAAGTTGCAGGTTTCCGGGATTGGTATAGAGTCCCACTGTGGAGAAGCAAGTGTGTGTATGTGTGTAGATACACACACACACATATTAATAATAATAATAA